GGTGCCGCCGTTCTCACTCGGCGGGAGGCCCGGGTGCCGTGGGGTGGCGGGACCGGGGCTGAGCAGGCCCCGTGGGGGGCAAACCGTGCCCTGCGGCTGTGGCCTCGCAGCGGGGCCAAGGCCAGCGGTAAAGGGCCGGCGGGGTCGGTAGTGCCTCCTCGCAGCCGGAGTAGAGAGTCGCTGCGTGCGGGGGAAACGAGTAGTTTGGATGGTTTGGGGGGCCCTAAAGGGGATTTTGATGTTAGAAGCTCGTTGGCCATGTCCCCACTAGTGTGTCTCCCCCCGCTGTGAAGATGCTTTGGGGGGGTGGATTTCCTTGGGACCTCACCGCCTTCCATGTGCTGGGCCACCAGCCAGAGCTTTCAGGCTGTGATGCCCTGGGAAGGGGACCTTTCATTGCACCAGGTGATATATCTCAGTAATGACACAGCTTTGGCTTCTCTACAAGCCCCGAGCCACACCTGTGGGGTCGGAGTGACGTGCTCTGATGCACTCCGGTTTCCCAGAGCCCATCTTCTGGTTTATCCTCTGTGGGCTGCAAGTGAAGGTGGCTTTTGTGCCATTTGCCTGAGCCTCCCCAGCGGTGGGACTGAAGGATCCTTCCTATGGAAAAAAGGTGATGGAAGCAGGTGGTAGAGGAGAGCCGAGGCAGGCTGCTGCGTCACACCGCCTTTGTTGCAGTGTACCTGGAGACGTATGGCTGCCAGATGAACGTCAATGACACGGAGATCGCCTGGGCCATCCTGCAGAAGAGTGGCTACAGGAGGACAAAGGAGCTGGATGAGGTAAAGCACCTTGGCAGCTCTCCTGTCCCACAGATCTGCCAGGGAACGCAGCGCTGCCATGCCTGCGAGTCCCAGCTTTTGTCTGGAGTGAAGTCCTGCAGGATGTTCTGATTTTTTCGGTCTAAGCTTTGCAGAGTAAAGGAAGCTACTTGACAAGCATGGTAGAAGGCTGGGAGTTGGTTTTTTCCTTTAAACTGTTGGGTTTCCTCTCAGTTGGAGAGCGATTGGACACAGCAGGATGCTCCTGCCACATCTTTGTCTGAGTTTACTTCTACTGTTTAGTGGAAGACTCTGCTTGTCTTCTCTGAGTTTCTTGCACCTTAGTTTGTCGAAACCCACCATGTACTTGGGCAGATCTTATTCACTGAGTTAAGTGAGTTTTACAGTCTCCCTCTTCAGGTTGACTGTGCAGGGCATGAGTACTTCTTGCTTGCCTTTTACAAATTCATCTTTTTTGGTTGTTTTCTATTTAGGCAGACGTGGTTCTCCTTGTCACCTGTTCCGTCAGGTAAGGATACTTTTGTCACTGCTGGGTTTGGACAGTTTTTAAGGAATTACCATTTGAAAACCAAGGCAATAGATGTGTTGGCGTGCAGATGTTACGCTGCCTGTTTAGGTGGGGGTAGAGCTGCCTGATGTTACGATGTGTAACATTAATCATGCAGTGAGTTGCTTTTCTATATAGTGAGAAGAGTTCTTTGGTAGCATGAGTTCTGTGTATACATCATGGGCCATTAGAGACCTGCACAGATTTGTGCTTTGAGTCGGTCCCTCCCCGTCCGTCACCGCGGCAACGGGGCCTGGCGCGGCCTCCCCGCGGGACGCGGCCATGCTGCTGCCCTGGGGACGAACGCTGCGGGCGGCGGGGCTCCCCCTTTCTCCTGGGGAGCAGAGAAAGCCCCTCTTGTGGGAGGTCTTGGAGAAGCCCCAGAGGGCTGCCACTACGGGGATGCTGAACAGTTATTTCGAGGAAAGCCTGGGAAATGTCCTTCGAGCCCTTCCAGGGATAAAATTAGGCACAGGGGCTGGCAGAACCACATGTGCCCATCCATCTATCCTCCCTCCCCAAAATGTGGTGCGTGCCAGGAGCACAGCAGCCTGCAACAGAAAGTGGCTGCCAGGGCCTGTCACAGCCCCACGCTTTCTTTCTTTCTCCCAGAATCTACTGCTGCTTGGAGCAAACGTTCAGTATCAGCCCCGGGTATAGAGATAAGGTGACAAGAAGGACTTCAAGCACCAATGATGCCCCCTTTGCCTCTTCCCTCCACCCAGCCCCGAGCAGTTCTGCTGCAGTGTCCCTCGCTGCCCGCCTTGCCCTGGACCACAGCCAGGGACAGAAGCACCCCTGTGTCCCCCCACAGCTACTGAGAGCTGGGGGTCCCTGGCCCCCCAACCCCACCCTGGTTCCCCTCCCACTTCGCCTGATCCCGAGGCAGTTGTTGGCAATAAAGGCGTCCAGCACTGGGATTGTGGTGGTGCTGTCACCGTGTCGTGGTTCAACCAGCCCTCACCTCGGGCCGCACAGCTGCTCGCTTATCCCCCCTAACACCCCTATCCCCTAAGGAGGGTCGGGAGAAAAGGAAGGGAAAGGGAAAAAGCAACAACAACAACAACAAGAAAAAACCCCTTTGTGGGAAACATTCCAGGTGAGGTTGGACGGGGCTCTGAGCAACTTGATGTGGTTGGAGATGGCCCTGGTCCCTGCAGGATCCTTCCTATGGAAAAAAGGTGATGGAAGCAGGTGGTAGAGGAGAGCCGAGGCAGGCTGCTGCGTCACACCGCCTTTGTTGCAGTGTACCTGGAGACGTATGGCTGCCAGATGAACGTCAATGACACGGAGATCGCCTGGGCCATCCTGCAGAAGAGTGGCTACAGGAGGACAAAGGAGCTGGATGAGGTAAAGCACCTTGGCAGCTCTCCTGTCCCACAGATCTGCCAGGGAACGCAGCGCTGCCATGCCTGCGAGTCCCAGCTTTTGTCTGGAGTGAAGTCCTGCAGGATGTTCTGATTTTTTCGGTCTAAGCTTTGCAGAGTAAAGGAAGCTACTTGACAAGCATGGTAGAAGGCTGGGAGTTGGTTTTTTCCTTTAAACTGTTGGGTTTCCTCTCAATTGGAGAGCGATTGGACACAGCAGGATGCTCCTGCCACATCTTTGTCTGAGTTTACTTCTACTGTTTAGTGGAAGACTCTGCTTGTCTTCTCTGAGTTTCTTGCACCTTAGTTTGTCGAAACCCACCATGTACTTGGGCAGATCTTATTCACTGAGTTAAGTGAGTTTTACAGTCTCCCTCTTCAGGTTGACTGTGCAGGGCATGAGTACTTCTTGCTTGCCTTTTACAAATTCATCTTTTTTGGTTGTTTTCTATTTAGGCAGACGTGGTTCTCCTTGTCACCTGTTCCGTCAGGTAAGGATACTTTTGTCACTGCTGGGTTTGGACAGTTTTTAAGGAATTACCATTTGAAAACCAAGGCAATAGATGTGTTGGCGTGCAGATGTTACGCTGCCTGTTTAGGTGGGGGTAGAGCTGCCTGATGTTACGATGTGTAACATTAATCATGCAGTGAGTTGCTTTTCTATATAGTGAGAAGAGTTCTTTGGTAGCATGAGTTCTGTGTATACATCATGGGCCATTAGAGACCTGCACAGATTTGTGCTTTGAGGAGTTTTAATTTTTTTTTTAATTCTGTCTTCTCTTGAACTGACTGACTCTCTAGCATAAAGTCTGTCCTTTAAAAATTTGAGAAATACATTTAGGGGCAATTTGGGATATAAATATACAGGGAACTTTACTTGTTTTTTCTGAACGCAGAAAATAACAAATGCTGATTGTTGCTCGCAAAGTAGCTCATATTGGTTGGCAAAGGCAGACTTTTTCTCTGCAAATGCTTAGTCCTTGGGTTGTTTCTGCACCGCAAATGCTCTCAAGCGAGCGAAACGAGAGGAGATAAGATAGAGTCAAGACATAATCCACACACCACAAATGGCACTTTCGCATGTCATCACATCCGTCAGGTGGATGATTCCCTGTCTTTAGCTGAATTCTCCTCTCAAAGCACTTGGGCTGCTTCACGTTGCGGGGCTGTAAAAGTGCAACAATTGGAATAACCACGTCCTTGGGTTGTTTCTGCAGCGCAAATGCTCTCAAGCGAGCGAAACGAGAGGAGATAAGATAGAGTCAAGACATAATCCACACACCACAAATGGCACTTTCGCATGTCATCACATCCGTCAGGTGGATGATTCCCTGTCTTTAGCTGAATTCTCCTCTCAAAGCACTTGGGCTGCTTCACGTTGCGGGGCTGTAAAAGTGCAACAATTGGAATAACCACGGTTTTCCTGGTTTCCCAGGGAGAAGGCAGAGCAGGCTATCTGGAATCGCCTGCGGCACCTCAAGGCGCTGAAAGCCCGGCGGCAGCAGGCGCGCTTACCTCTCCGCATCGGGATTCTAGGTACCTGGTGGGACACTGTGGTGCCACATCCCATCCTGCTGCCTTTCCTCCTCCCCTCTGGTGGCATCAAGCCTTTTCTGCAGGGTGAAGGCAGCTGGTGAAGGGGTGCGGAGGTGTAACCGGAGGGTGGGCGCTTCCTCACAAGGACCGTTCTCCTTTGGCGGCAGGATGCATGGCTGAGAGGCTTAAGGAGGAGATTCTGCACAGGGAGAAGCTAGTCGATATTGTGGCAGGCCCTGATGCATATCGTGACCTTCCCCGGCTGCTGGCCGTGGCAGAGTCTGGCCAGCAAGCTGCTAATGTCCTGCTATCCCTAGATGAGACTTATGCAGATATTCTGCCTGTCCAGACTAGCATGGGTGGCACCACAGCGTTTGTGTAAGTACCTTTTTTCTTTTTTTTTTTCTTTTCCTGTGCATGTTTCTGAGGTTCTGGTTTGGAAATACTGCTGTGCAGAGCAGACGTGGCAGTGACAGCAGCTACCCAAGAGATGCAATGCCTGGTTGCACTCGCTCCCGGCAGCCCAGAGGCAGGAGTTTACCAGACTGTGTGTTTGCTGCTTCTTCACTGTCTGACTGAGCCCTGGAGAGACTGCCCCGTGCTCTGGCTGTCTGCAGGCTTCTCTTACTCTCCTTTGAGAATGTTACTTGTCTAAGTCTGATGCTGCACCGACTGGTTTCTGTCCCACTGATGTCTGTGCCTTTCTGAAGTCTGTGCCTTCCTGAAGTCTATGCCTCTCATCTTCTGACTTCTATTGTGTCCTGCCCCAGGTTTTCCTATTTAATTCTTCTATTCCTCCATGCATTGGAACTTCTGTGGGTTTTCTTTCCATTTGTTTCATTTTGATAATAAGATTCCCAAACGTGAAATCAGACCCTGCTCAGGGACAGGAGGACAGTGTCACCCACTGTAGGAACAGGATGCAGAAGGATCTTTTCATCGCTGCCAGATTGCAGTGCAAGTCTGTGCCTCATTAGTTGCTTTCCAAATTTCTTGGGAACGTGCATGAAAAAATGAGGAGGTGTTGGCTCGGGGCAAGCAGAAGCCAGCTCTGGCTGGAGCGGTGTGTAAGGGGAAGCTGCAGAGCTGTGTTCGAGCTGGTGCTGTGCCCGCTGCTGGCCAAGGGAGAGCTGGGCCAGGTCAGAGCAGGGCAGGATGCAACATGGGTGATTCTTCTGGCATGACCTGTGTTTTACCTCTTGGCAGATCTATCATGCGGGGCTGTGACAACATGTGTAGCTACTGCATCGTGCCTTTCACCCGCGGCCGCGAAAGGAGCCGCCCCATCGCCTCCATCCTGCAGGAAGTGAGGATGCTCTCAGATCAGGTGAGGCAGAACCTCCTTCCCCACCCCAAACCGTGGGCAGAGGGGTGGTTCTTAGTGAAAGCGTTTTCAGGGATACCTTAGACCAACAAACACCACCTTGATCTGTGGAGACAAGGTTACAGTGGGGTTCCACCAGTGGCTTTTTGATCACCCTTGTAATACTCTGAGACAGACAGGGATGGGAGGGCTTCCCCTGTCGACTCCTTGGCGTAAGAGGAAAATTGTGGCTGCCCTTTCAGCTTAGCCATCCTCACCAGATTATGTTTTTTCCTCTTTGTCTTTGTAGGGAGTGAAAGAAGTGACACTTTTGGGTCAGAACGTCAACAGCTTTCGAGACATGTCCGAGGTGCAGTTTCAGTCGGCTGCTGCCCCGGTGCTCAGTCGTGGCTTTAGCACAGTCTACAAAGCTAAACCCGGAGGCTTGCGCTTCGCGCATCTTCTAGACCAAGTTTCTAGAATTGATCCAGAAATGAGGATCCGTTTCACCTCCCCGCACCCCAAGGATTTTCCCGATGAGGCAAGTGTGAAATAAATAGCTGGACCTCTGCTTGCAGGCAAGGGGGCAGCTCTGAACTGCTGGATGTGGGCTGTGCTTCCTCCCCAAAGGGGACAGGGAATCACAGAATGGGAACAGCAGCTCCTGGGAGGGGGAATGTTTGTGCTAAAGCTGGCAGGTTTGCTGGCTTTAACTTGGGGAGGACTCTTCCCCGTAGCATCCTGGTAGAGTTGAGCTCCTGATTTTCCATGACAGGTCCTGCAGCTTATCCAGGAGCGGCACAACATCTGCAAACAGCTTCACCTCCCAGCCCAGAGTGGGAGCACACGAGTCCTGGAGGCCATGCGACGAGGGTGAGCAATCGCTGTGGGGAATCCTCTGCCCTACCCTCTGATTTAGGATGCTGGTTTCTCCTCACCAACGTTGTGGTTTTCTGATTAGCGAATCCACGTGTTGTTCTTTGCAGATACACAAGAGAAGCATATTTAGAGCTTGTACACCATGTCCGTGAGTCCATTCCAGGTAGGGGCTCCCTTTAACTTGGTCTGAGCTCAGCACAGCTGTATCTTCCTGTCCTTTCTTGTGTGATGTGCTCATCTCTTCCTTGAGGGAAGTGTAAAGCTGTGTCTCTGTTACAGGAGTGAGCTTAAGCAGCGATTTCATCGCTGGCTTCTGTGGAGAGACTGAAGAAGATCACCAGCAGACCATGTCCTTGCTGCGGGAAGTCCGCTACAACGTAGGATTCCTGTTTGCCTACAGCATGAGACAGGTGAGTGCAGGACCTGATGGAGAAGACTCTTGTCTCTGGGTGTCTCACCTAATTCCTGAGGGCTGTTTCTCACAATAAGACACTAAAAAAAAAGTAGCTATTGAAAATAATACTGAAAGAGTTGGTATATTGATAGAATTTTTTGCTTGCAGGCAGCATTTCTAGGGTGTGTGGTTCTGCAAGTGTTACCTTTGTGCCTGAAAGGCTTCCAGCCCCCTTGTGTCAGTGTCAGGGTTGGTTAGTGATTGGGTGACCTGGTTCTGCAGATGCTCCAGAGTGATTGCAGTGAAGCAGCCATGTCTGCAGAGACCTGGCTGCAGGTACGTTTTTCTTTGCTGATGAGAAATTGTGCTGATGTAGCTGGGCTGGAGCCCGACTTCAGAGACTCTGTCAATCGAGTCTGGAGAGAAACGGTGAATTTTCAGAAGGTATTTCCATGAAAAGAGTGAATATTTGACAAGTCTCCGTTAGAATGCTCTCCAAAGTGTAAGATGCTGATGGGGAAGAAGACAGGAGATATGGAAACATAAGAAGGCACAGGAGTATGGATCACCTTTCAGCACATGAGTCTTGAAGTAATAGAATCCATTGTCTGTGCTTGTGGACAGCCAGACGACAGACACATCTCACACAGGAGATACAGAACTTCTTCACACAGCCACCGATACGTCAGACCTTCTACCAAAAAGGTGGTGCAGAAAGAATGTGAGGAACTCAAGGAAGTTGCTGGTGCTGAAAAAGTTTCTTGAGGTTCTAAATACAAAGTGTAATGTGTGAGAAGCTGTTGCTTGAAGAGCAGCCAAGCTGTCTGGGGTCACACAAAGTTCTGATCTCACTGTCTGGTTATTGAGGAGCCGCACTTGCTCTGTCTGTTCACAGAAAACCCGGGCGTATCACCGGCTGCAGGACGATGTGCCTGCCGACGTAAAGCAGAGGCGGCTGGAGGAGCTCATTACTGTCTTCAGAGAGGAGGCTGCAAGGGCAAATGAGGCCATGGTGGGCCAGAATCAGCTGGTGCTGGTGGAGGGGGTGAGTGTGCCTGGAACGGAGTTGTCCTCCCTCTTTGCTGGCCAGGAGGCTCTTGGGCTGTACATGGTTATTGTCACTTCTGCCTTCCCTTCTCACTGGCCCTGCACAGTCCAACGACTCCGTATCTTCACACTTAAGCAGACAGCCTGATTTCTGCAGAGCACTGAGCTGAGCACAGGGGGATGGGGTAGGTCAGAGACACGACTCTGGCCCAGCACTGAATTAGAGCAGGCTTTGAAACTTTGGTTTTGGTGTGTGGGTGTCAACACAGCAGCTCTGGCCATAGGACTTCGTTAGATGGCACGCTTAACAATGTGGAACGTGGATTTTAATACTGGCAATAGTGCTCAATTAATTCCTGAGGCAGTAAAACCCAGCAGTGAATCAGAGCTATTGCCATGCTGGTAATGTTCCCTGTCCTCCTTTCAGCCCAGCAAGCGCTCTCCCTCGGAGTTGTGTGGGAGGAATGATGGCAACATCAAGGTGATCTTCCCTGATGCTGAGACAGAGGATGCTGCGGGCTGCGAGGCTCCGGGCAGAGCCCAGCCAGGGGACTACGTGTTGGTGAAGGTGACCTGTCAACAACACTTGTTTCCTTGGGCTCTTTTTCTTGCTCAGTGCTGTTCTCTACAGCAGCTGCTGCCAGGAGAGCCTAAAATTAGAATGGATCCTCCTCAGCCTTTCTGTTCCTGAGGACTGTTGTGCTGTTTCTTTCAGGTAACCTCTGCCAGCTCTCAGACCTTGAAGGGAGCTCTGCTCTGCCGGACTACCCTCTCCCGCTCGGCGGCTCCTCGCTGAGGTGTCCCTGCTGCCAGTGGGCAAAGGCAGCCTGTTTTCTCTAGGAAGAAACAAGGAAACTTGGTCAGGTGGAGATGGAGTAGAAACAGGGAGATATGTGTATATTTTTATATATAAATATATATAAATAATAATATATATATATATATTTCTGTTTTGGCAACAACCTACCATCCCCAGATCTGTGCAATTCTGTAGGCAAAAGGGATGGAAGCTGGGTATGGACTTGCCAAACAGTGTCATCTTCTATTTTCACTTGCTCTCAGGTTGGCCCACCTTTGCCATGCCCACGGTCTGTCCTGTCCCCTGACTTTGGTCCCGTCCCCTGCTGCAGCCCAGCCTGAGAAATACCTACCTGCAGAGCAGGTCGTTCCTACTGGCTCAGTTGAATTTAGGAGCTGCAAAACCTGGTAGTGCCTAAAAAATACAGCTCCAGGAACTGCTGGAGAATGGAAGGAATAATGCCAAAGGGCACGAAGAACTCAGTGAACAGAAGATTGTGATGAATTCTTTCCAAATATTGGTAACTTCTCTATTTGCAAAATGCTTGGAAAGGGCAGGGAAGAAGCCACACTGTACCCGTATGGTGGAATATGGCACCTGACTGTGGAATATAAAATTATGTTAACGTGCATGAGTGATGGTGAATCTGTTGTATCTGTGGCTGAGGGAGTGCACCTTTACCCCTGCACTGGGGATATTTGGATTTAGGTTAGAGAGGAAGGATTTCCCTGTCTCCAGGCCTAAGGGATGTGTGTAAGGACTGGCTGCCAGCTGAGGGTTATCTCCAGCCCGTTAAAACTTTAGGTGCAGCTTTGTAATCCAAACATCTGTGGATGTCCTTTGCTTTGCTCACAGGAGGAGAGAAATGTCCATGCCAATTTAAATGGCCAATAACTTATTTAAGTGCGTTGTACAGGTCCTTGTTTTTATCAGCCCTCAGCTAACCCTGGCCACGCCGTGTCATATTCCAGGCTGATCTGCTAAATTCCAGCAAATACCTGTAACCTGCACTTGTAAGTAAACTCTCTCTTAAGAGATGTGAGAAAGAATCATCCCTTTTAATACAGATAATCATGTTATTAAAATAAATCATTGTAAAAGGCTCTCTCCAGTGTCAAAATTTTGAAGGAACAGCTGATCAGCCCTTAATAGAGCAGTCACTACATGAACTTGCAGAATTTTTAAATAGGCATGAAAGGGTTTTGAAAATTCCTCTCTCCTGCTCAGCTCTTTCTGCGATAGAATTGTATCTCTTTGAAAACAGCATGGTTCACTGAATATTCATCAGACCTAAGTTTAAGGAACATACATTTTGCTTATTATCTCAGAGCTGGTTCTGTTCCAGTGGAAGTGAATCCGCACCATCAGCACTAGTCCCTGTGGGCGCTGACACACACACACACACCCCGTGCTGTTCTCAATCCTGCCTCCACAGGGGACAGTGTCTTTGGCCCAAATTCACAAACCAAGTCTTGCACCTCTGCTGCCTGGTGAGTGTCAGCCCTGGACCAGGGGGTTTTTAAGGAAGAGGCAGCGAGAAGCTGTTTGGTGTGAGGAACCAAAGGAAGGAGCAGGGTGTGTAAGCGTCGTCCCTCAAAGGTGACAGGCACCGAAGCCAACATGTGCTTGCTAATTAAAACAACTGGGGTAAGTGGCCTGATTTTCGCTGCCCTGCAGCATCTCTTTCAGCAGATTTTTTTCCATGCATCCTGAAACCCTGGCCCAAGCCAGCACCCCCTGAAAAGGGCTGACACCCACTTCTCACTGCTCCTTTCCACCTTCTCCCCACGAGCACCTCTTCCAAGTGAGCAGTGCAGCCCGCGGCGTGCCCTCCCTGCTCCAGCCAGTTTTGAGGCCAGCTGTGGTGGTTTTACAATCATTATTTTAAGAGCAAGAGACTAATGAGGAGGAGAGCTGGGTTTTACATTTTGATGAGGAGGTGATAATGCTGGCTGCACAGACTCCCCAGGGAGCCATAGTGCTCACCATTTGCCTCGCCTCCTTAGTTTTTATAGGCCTGGGGAATGAAGGCTGAGGTTTTAAGGCAGTGAAGCAACCATTAGGAAGCGCTTACGGTGACCTTGGAGGCTGAGTTTAGTCATTTGGTGCTGCCTGCAAGCAGGGATGTTTTTTTCTTGGAGGGCTAGAGGTGGGATGTGGCTTCTCTATCACTTGGCAGAAGATTTGCTCCCTGAATTGGGTTGTTGGGAAAGCTGAACTTCTCTCTTGTGTTCATTCTGCTCCGTGCTCATTCTACGTTTCTTTTCCCAGTCTGAGCAGGGATGAGAGTCCTGAACTCCACGGGATTTTTAAATCTCCCAGGCTGATTTATACCTGTGCCTTCTGCAATTGGAAGCTGAAGTGTTGTGTTTTTTCGGTATGGGAGGGATTTGTTTTGCTGGGATTGCTGCTGTGAGACAGCTCTGGGTCCAAACCAAAATGTTGGTTAAAGTTAACATGCACTTTATCTCCGCTCTGTAGAGAAACACGGATCCAGGAATCAGCACCCAGGCTTGGTAGGAACATGACTATCTGGGATTTATTACCAGCAAAGTTGCCTGATAGGCTTTCATTACCCAGAGTATAGTATTTAAAGGTCTTAATTTCAGCCAGGTTTGTAAGTGTCCTTGTAAGATACGTTTTGTAATGAAGCTCCATCCTCACCTCTGTATCCCAAACTCTCGGCACAAGTTCTGGTGGGTTCCTGAGGGGCCCCAAGACGCGGCAGCCTGGTATAATTTGAAAGCTGGATCCTATTCTTGTTGTTTTGGAAAAGAGCTGCAGTCAGCCCCTGCCAGGCTCCATTTCTTCTGGGCACAAGAGGAGATGTTCCTCAGAGGCAAAACGCTACTGGTTGGACACTGGGTGGTGTTTTGTTCTCAGGATGACTCAGGAGGTTTCCCCAGGTCAGACCCACAACTCTAAATCCCTCCTCACTGTGCAGCCTCAGAACTGTTCTGTGTGCTCAGCTTTCCTGTACCCAGTCCCTTGGGCTGGAAACCACTGGCAATAACAACACCAGACCAGAAGTCACCAGGCAGAGGAAGCAGGAAAAAAAGGAAAGAAAAAGCACATCAGAGCAATGGAAGTATTTATTCACATAGTTTTGGGGTTATCTGCTTGCTCTTTCTGCTCTTTATATTCCCATTGTTCCAAGTTTATATTCCCAGTATTGGGCAGAGTGGATTTCCCAAATCAAGGAGACCCACCACCTTTTAACCCTGCCTTGAAGCTTTCCCATGAAATGCTGTATTTTGGGCACACCCTGGAAAAGGTACAGGAAAAGTCACAGCAGTGATCTGTGTCCAGCTCCTGCGCTGAAACAGGTTCTTTAGGTAAGAGCCAGGGGATTAGGGGGATGTATGCAAAGTGCAGAGCATCGGCATAAAACTCCTTCAGTCAGGAGCCCAGGAGTCATGTTTGGTACATGGAGAACTAGAGCAGGCTCGTTAGGAGTCGGTGGCCAAGGTGGTGAACCCTCACTTGCCATCGGCAGAGCTGGGTGGCGAGGGCACTGCAGGGGAAGGTGACAGGAATTGTCCCAAGATCCCTCTGGAGAACACACAAATTAATTTTTTTTTGCCTCCAGCCAGCCAGTTGTACCCCAGTTACACCTGTGGGCAAACACCAAAGGAGGTGTTTGGCAGATCACTTTTCCCAGCTCAGACCTGAAGTCCTGGGATGATGTTTACTTTCAAGCACTGGCCGTGCCCCGAGGCATCTCCTGCCACCGGGATTTCATAACACGCACCCTGGCAGTGTTGAGTGATGCTGGACATGGCCAGGAACACACAAATACCTTCACCTGGTAGAAAGGTCACTCTCAGAGAGAACAAGAGCCGTTTGTTCTCCAGAACCCCATCATGCAGCCTTTAAGAGTGAACCTGTTTGTCCTCAGGTCTTGGCTGTGCTTAGGGAGAGGAGGGACAGACGGCAGCGGGCGCTCTGAGACAGTGCTGCTCTGCTCATCGCTGCCATTTATTGGCCTGAGGACAATCTCAAAATAGATGTCCATCGTTTCCTACGCTCCCCCGCCCCAGCCTTGCTCCCTTCTCCCACCAGCTAAGGCAGAGCAGTTGGGCTTTTCCCAGTGCCAGAACTGGCTGTGGCGTGTCACGTCCTTCCCCAGAACCCCCAGTGCTCCGCAATCTGTTTTCCCTCGGAATATCAATGAAGTTGGAGGGAAAGATTGACGTTTTTCCCTGATGGTGGCTTGTAAGCACAGTTTGCTTCAGGTCAGCCCAAGACCCCCGCTCTGCTGAAGCGGTGGCAGGTGACGAGATGCATTGCCTCCAAACGATGCGCCAAGCAGCCTGCCGGGCTGTGCCGGGGCTGGAACACTCTCCTTCCCTTTCCTCGTGGGTTTTCACTTTAGCAGACAGGCTTCAAGCACTTGCCAGCCCTCTTTTTCCCCCCAGGCCGCCTCCTCCTCCTCCTCCTTCTCCTCCTCCTTCCACCAATACTGCTGTGGGCGTCAGGTCCATAGAGGTTTCTTTCAGTGGCTTTTCATCACCATTGCTGAAACTAGCTCTTTGTGGAAAGCTTAGGGATTTAATGCAACATAGAGAACTTTTTAAAATGTCTTCCCTTTCTAAAAATCAGTTAGAGCTTCAGTTCACACCTTTCTGGAACTGGCTGAGGTCGGGTTCCAGCAGGAAGGTGACGACTGCTCCTAAAGGCTGCTCTGCTGCTGGTGAACTCTGCCACGTTGGAAATACAACAGCTCTCCACTGCAGCAGCCCTGCCCACCTCTCCCACATCCCCCCATTGATGTCCCCCCCCATCTTGGCCAGCCCCGAGCTGCCCTGCAGCCCACCCATCCCGGTTCCATCTGTCCCCAGCCCCTCCCCGGAGCAATGAGCCTTCCTGGAGCGATTCTGGGCTGTGAACTGAATATCAATGATGGAGGCGCTGACGGTGAATGGCAGCTCCGATTTTTCAGGGTTTTGTGAATTCAGAGTGTATCTTGCAAGTCTGTCACAGTAACTGCTGTTCTCTGGGGCTTGGGAGTCCTGTGGCTTTCCCTCCTCCCTTGTGAGCAATTTCTTTCCTTTGCTGACAGCTAACTATTGACTTCTCATTCTCCTGAAGATGAGATGTCCTGTCTCATCAGGTTTAAATTAGTTTTATCTTTAGACTTTCCTATTAATAAGCTCTCATCGTGGTGTCATTACTTGATATCTATTTTCTGATGTTTTTCATTAATGGCTTTATGTCTTCCAAGATACTTTTTCAAGTGTTATTTTTTCCACTTCTGGCTGAGTTATTTAATAGCCAGGCAGGGATCAGGGATGTGAAGATGGTCAGGCGATGCTCAGGGATGCACATGGAGTGGCTGAGCGTCCGTCGGCCAGCAGGGAAGGGAGATGAGCTGGGGCTGGCAGGGACAACCACATGCTCCCTCCTCCGTCCCTCTGCATCCCTCGAATCCCAGGCTGAGCTCTGCCACGCCGGGTGCTCTCAAGAGCATGAGTCAATAGAGTAATTAAAATGCCCCCTGAGAGGCAAAGGTGGTGCAATTCATTTGGACAGCTGTATTGGACGCTCTCTGTGGAAAGCAGAGAATGACTTTCTGTGCCCCCTCCTGAAGGGGAGGCTCCCCATGTCCCCATGCACCATGTTCCTGTGCCCGGGCAGCAGCTCCAGCCCTTGGTCAACAGCCTCAGGGCTAGAAGTACTTCACAGCTCTGATTCCCCATACAGGTTCCTGTTCTTACTCAGAAATCTGCTCTGAGGGGGACACGCTGCATGTTCAGGTCATCCTTGGGCAGGGATCCTGCTCCAGCACGGCACTGCTCAGCTTCATCACTGGCGGAGACCTTCCATCTGCCGCATACCCCAAAATCCTGGACGGCCAGAAACCCTCTGGAGGGACTTCCTGGCCAGCAGAGCCTCTGCCTGGTCTGCAGCCTCGGGGTCCTCCTGGAAGGGAGCAGGCAGAGCCCCCCCACTGTAGAGAGCCCAAAACATCCTCAGGTCCTTGGACCTGACCCTCTGGGATTGCTGGAACCAGTGAGGCTGGTGAGATGCCAGGAAGATGCTGCCCTTGTCCTTCTGCGGGATGCAGAAGCTGTGGCAGAAGAACCACATCCCCCCTGAGTCA